CAGCACCACATAAGCAAAAAGAAAAAAAAAAGCTGGAAGTGGTGCTGTGGCTCAAGTGGTAGAGCGCTAGCCTTGAGCTGAAAAGCTGAGGGACAGCGCCCAGGCCCAGAGTTCAGGCCCCATCATCGGACCCACCCCCCCAAAAAAGAAGAGGAACAGGGAAATCAGTACTTATCATTCTTTGTTTAATTTTTTTTTTGTAAAGGTGATATAGTAGTTATGTAGTAAGAAATGAGTACAATTCTTTTTTTGGGGGGGGGTCTGGTCGTGGGGCCTGAACTCTGGGCGTGGGCGCTGTCCTTCAGCTCTTTAGCTCAAGACTAGTGCTCTACCGCTTGAGCCACAGCACCACTCCCGGCTTTTTTTTCTGCTTATGGGGTGCTGAGGAATCGACCACGGCCTCAAGCATGCAAGGCAAGCGCTCTATCACTGAGCCACCTTCCCAGCCCCATGAGTACAATTCTTGTTGAACATTGTTACCTTCTCATTTTCTCCTGCTATCCTCCCCCTAATTGTGAATATCACTGTTGCATTGGTTCACCTTTGTCTTTTGTCTCACCATTTCTATGATTTCCCTTTCTTTCCCCAAATCCGATAAATTTAAATACAATACAAAGGGTAATGAAATAAAAAAATGTCAACAGCAGGTAAGCCAGTGGAAAAATAAAAGCAAAAAAAGAAATAACTGTATACAGTACATTAAGAAAAAAAAAACTTGTTTCCATATCTTGTACTTAATTTCTATTAGCATCATTTTTTAAGGTGAGGGAAACCAGGCAGCCTGTGTTTCTTTGGGTCAGTCTTACTTCACTTACTATGAATTTTTCCCAGTCTTTTCATTTCCTTACAAATGAAGAAATGCTGTTCTTTCTGGTGGAAGCATAGAACTCCATTGTGTATATTTACCACATTTTCTTGATCCATTACATTATATGCCAATTCCATAGGGTAAACACATGAAACTTTACCAGGAAGGAAACCAGAAAAGGAAGGGATGAGAAAGATTAGCTAATTTAACAGACTAATCCTGTCACAGGTTTTATAATGATCTAGGTAGTCTCTCCCCTCCACCCTCAAATCTCCCCAGCTCCCAGCAGAGAGAAGAAAAGCTAATATTTAGGTTATCTGTTGGCACTGGGGCCCAGCTCACAGTTATCATCGTAGCTACTCATGAGGCTGAGGTCTGAGGAATGCAATCTGAAGCCAGCTCAGACTGGAAAGTCCATGACTGTTTCTCTAATTAATTACCTTAAAGCCTGAAGTGGAGCTATGGCTCTAGTAGTAGAGCAATAGCCTTGAGCAAAAATGCTTAGTAACAGTGCCCAGGCTTTTAAGTTCAAACCCCAGTACTAGCACACACATACACATTAAAAAAAAAAAAAAGAACATATGGACAAAAAGATTTAGGCTATCACCTGAGTAAAAGGAGGGAGGAATCCAGTAATCATAAATCTCATAGCTACCCATAAGGAGGAAGATAAGATAATGTTGTAATCACACAAACCCCATATAAAATAGTTTCATGGGAGCTTGGGTCTTCTCTATTCCATGAGTCTTGCTTCAGAACTTATTAACAAGAATTGTACTTTTTCATTTTAATATTATACAAAAGCAAATAGGAGAAGAGGACTTATTGAGTTGGTTCTAAAAGATGTAAGGTTCAAGAAGTGACTTTATTCAGTTAATGTTCATTGCTTCTTCCATCTTTTTCAAACTAGTATAGTGTGTACATATTTGGTTGAGTCATTTAATTGGTGTCAAGAGTTGAACACTGACATTTCATCTGGTTCAATGTAATAGTATATTTTGAGAAAAAAATAATAATAAATAACATTAAAATTGGAGTTGGATCTGTTTTACTTCAGAGTTTGTCCATATGACTGCCGGCTGGTTGTATGGAGTGTGGATGAACTTTTGACTTCTCTGCCTTGGCCCTTGGCCTTGAACCACTGTCTCCAGATCTCAGCCTCACCATTACCCAGCAAAAGCTATAGATTTTGAGGCTCTTTGAGAACTTGGTTGTTCTCTTTCCTATTATTAGGATTTGAGCAAAGAAGACTCCTTGTTTGACCCTAAACTCATTATATAAAAGACAGTGATAAAGGTTTTTTTTAAGCAAAGTTTATTTCTAAGGAAAGATAACATTAAACATTAAAACATTTTCCATACTGGCTTCTCTTTAGAAAGGTTCTTGTTCAGCTATTTCAAAGATCCAAATACAGATTAACTCTTTGTCCTTTCTTTCTTGGAAGGGTTCTACAAAAGACCTCTCTTTTAAGCTGTGCCATATCCTGGACACTGTTTTTTCTTTCAGCTCTATCTGCTTCCTCTGTCTTTATATCAGGTACAACTTTTCATTTCTTATTTAGGATATGAAACAGCCCCCCCCTTTTCCTCCCTTCTCTCTCTGTGTTTGTCTCTCCCTTCCCTCCCTCCCTTCTTCCTTCTCTCTACCCTCTCCCCTTTTCCTTCTCCCCCTCTCCTTTTCCCTTCTCTCCTCCTCCCTGGCCTTCTCCTCTTTCCCTTTTCTTTCTTTCTCCCTATCCCCCCTTCCTCTCCCTCTCTCTCTAATGAGGCTTGAACTCATGGCCTCCCATTTTCTAGACAGGTACTTTTACCATTTATCCTTGCCTCCAGCATACCCAACAGAATTAGTACAAAATAGTAGGTTTTAGAAAATAGTAAGCTTTTAGATACCCTATACTATGCAGATGAGCAGTTGTAATAAGGGGAAAAGCTAAGAAACTTCTACTTTGTCCAAGATTAGCCACAGTTCTTTGCCCAGATGTGAAGAAAATGATTTTTAACATTATTGTTTAATATAACTACTTTGGCCTACTATTGTTAAGCATAATTTTGTATTATCAAGTTTCATCCACACAGTGGTGCTAGAAGACCAAGAGTTGATCATTATTTCCTCCTAATCAAAATAATACGTATTTCTAACCATTCCTTATAAACACTTTTTCAAGTTAGACAGCAAATTTCCTTAATCTCTATCAACTCTCATTAAATTATGATTTTACCTCTCGAATATTTCTGGTTTTGTTCCAGTTTTTTTTTCCACATTGTAATGGTAAACACTTTTTTGGGAGTTTAAATCTGAACATTATTCTCCTGCTTAAAAATAATGAATTCTTATTACAATAAATTTATCAATAAGGAACAAAGACAAGGCATTTCATGATTAAACTCCTGTCCATATCTGGGCTTCATTCATCTCTATCTGTTCTTTTTCTGTACATAGCCAGTATGGCTTTCTTTTTGCATTTTGAATATGTTTCCCCTAATTTTGCGTAATTTTCCTTTTGCCTAGAATAAGTAGAGGAATGTATGTGGAAATGTAGATAATCCTTATTTTTCCATCTCTCTTAAGTCTTTGCTCAATTCTTAGAAAAAAGCTTTCATTAATCTCTCCAAAGTAGATTAACTCACTATTTTATGTGATCTTATGTGACTAATTTTTCTTCATTGCATCACTATAATTATATTAAACTTAGATAAATTATGTAACATTTATATCATTAGTTATTCTCCATTTTCTTACTGGAAAAATGCTAAGACTGTGTATACTTATTGCTTATCACTGTGTTATTAGTGCCTATTAAATATTTGCTAAGGAAATGAGTGAATAAATCAAGTTATCTGGAACTTAAGTATTAGAAGTAGGAAAGATGAATATCCTGAAGAAAGAAGAAAATTGTTGCAATTAGAGTACCCCAAAGTAAGCATTATTTTAAGGTAACGTATTGGCTCAGTGTATAGACATGCCTGTCTGTCTATCTGTCCATCAGTCTGTCCACCCATCCATCCATCTTACTGAGACTGTAGTTAATTCTAGATCATAGGCCTTAAGCTATAAGATTTCTTTACAACGTGGGGGAGGGAAGGGGGAGGTGGGGAGGAAAGGGATGGTAGGGGAAAAACAGGGGAAGAGGTAACAGTGTTCAATAGGAAATGTACTCATTACTTTACTCATGTAACTGTAACCCCTCTGTACACTATTTTTACAATAAAAAAGTTAAAAAAAAAGACTTCTTACCTTCATGAAAGGACAAGATTATTTCAGAGATTTGGAAGTAGTGGAGAATACTGTTTTGTAAGTTATTGAAGGAATCAGTTTATATTTACTTTTATTTACATAATGGTATGTAAAGACATTCTCTTTATTCTTTAATGTGTGATAAAGATCAATAATAGAAGTAAAAACATTAAAAAATTTATGAAAGTAGGTTTATTATTTGTCCATTGGAAAGTCTTTTTTTCTGTAATTTCTCTTATTCATAATTATGAGAGGTGACTTAAAGAAAAGAGACCTAAGGCATAAAATGCCCTCTATGTTCTATATATTCTATAAAGGCTTGACTGTACTGTTTTATTTACTATCCTCTATACACATTTCCTGACAGGTACCCAGAAATTATCTTTGAATGAATCATATAGTGAATTCTCTGACAGCTAATGTGATTGGTATTGGTCAGTTTCTTTGCCTTGTAGTCATTCTGCAGAAAAGAATGATCTGAGGTAAAATACTTGATGATTGATTGTGTTTATTTCTTTGCTTTTTTGTATTTCAGCTGTGGCAGAAGTAAAACTTCGAGATGATCAATATACCTTGGACCACATGCATGCTTTTGGAATGTATAATTACCTACACCATGATTCATGGTACCAAGATAGTGTCTACTACATTGATAACCTTGGAAGAATCATGAATTTAACAGTGATGCTGGTAAGAAAAATATATGTGATATAGTAACTTACCAATTAATTGATCCTTTAAACTTATCTTTGGATCTAATATCCAGGGAATTAAGGTACACATGCTTTTACTGAATGGAATCCTTTCATTAGTGTATGTGAGATTCTGTATCTGTTTAATTCACTTTTATTTTCTTTTGCTGTTATTTATAATTTTTTATACCTTTTTACTCCTACCACTAGGCAACTGGAAATTATATATTAGTATTAATGTACTTATTCAGGCTGTTTTTCTTATGTGACGTATTATCCTCGACTACAATAATAAATTTGTCTATTTTTACTTTTAGTTAATTTTTGCATTATGTACTTTTAACTGTGTTAATTGACCACAAACATTCAGATTTGCAATTGACCTTTAACATGAAATATTTATCTGTAGACAGGTTATTGTGAAATGTTTTTTTGGGTGGGGGAGGTCTGGTCATGGGGCTTGAACTCTGGGCCTGGGCGCTGTCCCTCAGCTCTTCAGCTCAAGGCTAGCGCTCTACCACTTGAGCCACAGCACCACTTCCGGCTTTTTTCTTTTTGCTTATGTGGTGCTGAGGAATTGAACCCAGGGCCTCAGGCATTCAAGGCAAGCGCTCTACCACTGAGCCACCTTCCCAGCCCTAGTTATTTTTGTTTTTAAAATTAGTATGAATTATTTTTCTTTCCTTTTTCTTTTAGCTTATCAGTATTGTTATTTTATTTTATTTTATTTTGTTGTTCGTCCAGCTTAACTCCAGGCCTGGGCACTGTCCCTTGAGTTCTTTTGCTCAAGGTTAGTGCTCTATCACTTTGAACCACTGTGCCACTTCTGGTTTTCTGGTGGTTAATTAGAGATAAAAGTCTCTTGGACTTTCCTGCCTGGGCTGGCTTTGAACTGCACCCTCCAAATCTCAGCTTCCTGAGTAGTTAGGCTTACAGGCATGAGCCACCAACACTTGGCAGTATTCCTATTTTTAAAGTATTTTGGCTCGATAGTGGCAATGTTTGTCTTTTAATTGGAAGGGCTTAGTATAGTTATATTTACCTTAATTACTGATATTCATGTTACAGTTTTGGTATTTCTATTTTAGTTTATCATGTCAGTTCTTTGTGACTTCATTTGCTTCAGTTTCTTTGTTACAACCTTTTGTGGAGTTGCTTAACTGATTTTTTATTTTTGCCAGTCCTGGGGCTTGAACTCAGAGCCTGGGCATTGTCCCTGAGCTTCCTTTGCTCAAGGCTAGCACTCTACCACCTGAGCTACACCACTACTTCTGTCTTTTTCTGTTTATGCAGTACTGAGGAATTGAACCTAGAGCTTCAAGCATGCTAGGCAAGCACTCTACCACTAAGCCATACTCCCAGCCCCTAAAGTTTTAGAAAAATTTTATTTGACTTTTTTTTTTCTTTTGGCTTTGTGTCTGTCTGTTAGTATTGCTAATTCAAATGGTCAGTGTATAGATTATAGTGTTAATTCTTATTGCATTCTCAGTCTAAAAAATGTGGTCTATTTATTGTATAAAATTCTTATAATAATGTAGTTCCTTTTACTTTACCTCTAATATATTGAGTTATTTTTGAACTTTTTCACATATTGTAAACTCCACAATAAATCATTAATGCATTTTCTTTAAACAACCATTCATTGATAGCTTCCTAACTGCTTTCTGTTTCTGCCAGCCCTTTTGTTCATTGTAATTTTAAAATATTTGCTCGTCTCACTACTTTTTGCTTAAATTAATATTTTTCATGACAAATGCACACTTTGTGTGTGTGTGTGTGTGCGTGCGCAAGCGTGCGTGCACGTGTGTGCCAATCCTGGAGCTTGAATCCTTAGATCTCAGCCTCCTAAGTAGCTAGGATTACAGGCATGAGCTGCTAGTGCCTGGCTAATATCCACACCGTTTAATATGTAATTTTAGCAGAGGCAAGGCATCCATGTGACTTTGAAAAATATAGTTATAAAAATAGTAAAGTCTCCCTGAGCTTATCTTTCATCTCTCTTGTCTTTACTTCACATTTTCCCTGCAACTTCCTTATTAGTTTCTTGTTTATTCTTCCTGAGGTGCTGAGGGTTTTTCTTTATTTGATTTTGCAAGTATGATCAACCCTTGTCAACTTGATTTGACTAAGAAAAATCTAATAAGTAAACTCACATACTTTTGGCTACATCTGCAAAGGTGTTTCCAAAGATTGGCTTAGAATATGAGGGCTCTGAGCAATTCATAGTAGCTAAACATAAGTATAAACATTCTTTGCTTTGCTTTCTTTTAGGTCTGAAATTGGGTCTTGAACTAGACACCTGTTGCTTTCGCTCATTGACTGTCGCTCTACTAACTGAGCCACACCTCCAACCCCTAAACAAATATTCTTGTACAATAAGCTTTTTATCTTGCCATATATAGTTGACATGCTTTCTTTCCAACCTTGTCTTCCACCTCTTATATACTACTTTAGCAATTCTAAACTCTTCTAGTTCTTTAAACATCTCTATGTCCTATTGTTACTAGGCTTTTTTTTTTTTTCCCCCACAGATCATATTCTCAATTCTGTGGCAGGCAGCTTTACTTAAAGAGCCAATTAATCATCATTAAGGAAGCATGTCTTGAACTCCTCCCTCTGTTGCCTCTGGAATATTCATGCCATTTACTATTGTAATTACATGTGCTATGAACTTCCTGTATGCCAAAGGTTGGTAAATTTTTTCTGTACAGGAGCAGATATTTTAGGCTTTGTGAGGCCAGTTAGTCTCTTGCCATGGCAATTTACTTTTGCTGTTTTAGTGGAAAAACAGCAATAGATGATTGTAAATGAAAGAGTGATGTGTTTCAATAAAACATTGATTGCAAAATCATGCTGTAAAGCCAGCTTTATGTGGACAGCACCAAAGTCTGCTGCCAGCTCTAGCAATAACCAAAACAATTTGGGGCTTGGCTGCAGTGGCCTGCAAGTACCTGTTGTTATTGAGCAGGATAAATTGAATCCTGAGAAACAAATTTTGGGGTGGCTGTGTGCAAGATTCTTGCCCCTGCTGAACTCTGTCCCAAAATGATTTTAAATGATTTCAGATCTTTGGAATTTTTACTCTGCATTAGGTAATTCCTAAGATGCCCTAAAAGTTATTTTGTCAATTTATATTGAAATCAGTTTATAACTATAGTTCATCTTCCAGCATTTTCACATCTATCCCAACCTCTCTCACCCTCTATATCTTTCTGATTCTATATTCACATATATGCATTGAATGATATGACTGCATTCATTTCTTTTTAGTGATATTAAAACCATGCCTTCCTTAGCTCCACCCTTACACAGGTTTTTCTGATCATATGCAAGTTTTTCATGTTATTTTACTCTGATTTTTGTTTCTAGTTCTCACTGTAAACTAGACTAGAAGCAGCTAGCAATGCTAAGCTGCCTTGAAATTTTCTTCATTATAATTCCATCACTTTGAAGCTTGGTGTCAGTCAAGTCTTAGGGCTTGAACAAAATGTAGACAAGTGTTATCCCACAATGTAACATGAATGTCCCAGAATCTTTTTTCCTAATGAAACCTCAACATTCCTATCTGTCTTTGTTTTACTGAGCTCACACCAGAATCATCTATGCTCTGGGCATTCTCTAGCTCATGTTTCCAAATGTTTTCCCAAAACTTCTCAACCATATTGTCAGGTGAAATCAACAGCCACTTCCTTAGTTCACAATACCTTTAGAAAACTCTAAAGGAACAGAACTAATAGAACATATACACATATTATAAATTATAATTTTAAAATATATTAGATGGGCTTACTTGATTGGAGGCTAGTTATTCTAGCCATGGTTATCTGTATGTTGGAGAAGCCATTTGCTGCTCAGTTTAAGAGTTAGGAGCCTCAGAGAAAGGACTAAAGATGTCCTAGTCAAGCTGAAGGCTTCAAAACTGCTTAGAGTGTTATTGGTGTGAGTGAGAAGTGAAAGGTTGAATCTGTCTAATGTGTATTAAAAGTGGCAGCAGCAATAGATATACTTGTTCAGGAAGATTGGATGGTGCTGCCCACATTCATGGTATGTCTTTCCCTTTTGTTGATGTTCGGTAACTAATTGCTTCTGGAAACACCTCATGATCATTCTTATTTTATATAAAGAAATCCAAATCAAGGACATGTGGAAAATGCATCACATTGTTTCTGATATCTTATGCAATAGTCAGTCTTGATTGTTGATTAGATTGAGAGATGCCTATGTGTGCAGACCAAGTAAAAGACATGAGAGGACACAGCAAGGAGGTAGCATCTGCAAGCAAGAAAAGACCCTTCCCAAGCAACTGACTGACTAGACCTGTGTGGTACTTTTAGCTTCATTACTATGACAAACTTACTTTATGCTGGCCAATCAATGGTATTTCATGATAGTAGTCCTAGCAGACTGTTGTCCTAGCAGTAAGTATTGTTTTAGACCTACACTTAGCATGGACATTACTAGTTCTATAACATCAGGCAAGTCACTGCTTGTTTGGAGACCTTTGTGTCTTCATGTGAAAATAAAAGACAACCTGATCAGTGTTGTCTATAGAATTCTGTACTATGGAAGATTCCATGGAGCTGCCCTGGCAGGGAGGGCCTACCTCCTACTCTTCCCATCTATGAAGCTCTATATATTTGTCTTTTCCACATGAAATTTTTTAATGGAAGAAGTTCACTGGCACATATTTGACAGTTGGAGATTACTTCTGAGAAGCCAGGTGCTGGTGGCTCATCCCTGTAATCCTAGCTACTCAGGAGGCTGAGATCTGAGGGTGATGTTTTTTAATGGCATAGCAGAAAACAGACTGTTGTAATATCCACAATGCACATGTAAAATAAAAAAGACTATAAAATCAAAAATGGAAATTTTGATTAACAAAATCTGTCCAGACATTGCTAGTTCTCTGATCTTCACAGGCGCCAGCAGATGGCAGCAGTACAACATACGGTTCATAGAACCATTACATTTGCAAGTTTTAACTTAGGGATATACAAT